ACACTGCTGCAACCGTTCGTCCCGCATTCCGCACACCAGTCGGTCTCGTAGGGCCTCTTCTACATCGGTAAAGTTGCACGGCCTCGCAGCTTTACGAAGAGCCGCTACATACTCAGCCATGGTCTCATTGGGCGCTTGACTTCTTTTGAAGAAGGCGTGCCTGCTTGCGATCTCCGACGGCTGCGGGGAGAAGTGTGCCTTCAGTTTGTCTGTCAGTTCTTTGAAGGCTACGGTCGTGATGTCCGCGGGTGCTACCAGGGACCGGGCGATATCGAACACGCTCTTGCCACAAGAGCTCAGGAGGGTAGCTCGCTTCTTCTCCTCCGTAGTGATATCGCTCGCTTCGAGGTGGAACCCGAACCTCAGCAGGTAAGCGTCCCAGTCCTCGGTCGTTGGTTCGAATGCCTCGAACTTCGGGCTATTGGCCATAGCTGCGATCGCTGCCACCGGCTCTGGTGGTGCCTGTTGCTGCTCTGCCATGGCGAGTTGCTGCTCGCTGTTGTCCGTCGTGGGGTTGGGACCAGCGGGGCTGCCTACCCGCACTAGAATCCCACCTTCATCACCAATTGTTAAGTCCATGCTCAACAAAATAGCCAGAGAGTGATTTCAGCAAAACTCAGGTTTATTTCAGCTCGACGATCAACTTCTCTGACACGGTACAACATCTGATAGCCCGAACCAACTTTCATTGCAGTGGTTCGGTATTTAAACATTCCGGGCTAATGTAGCCACACCTACTATACAATTCTCAACCTATCAGGTTGTTCGCATACTTGCCCAATCACAAGTGTTCCCACCACAGACAGTTCAAATGTGATTGGACACAATTCTTTCGGCGCGAATCCTAGCCGACGTCTGAAGCTTAGCATAGCTTCTCTATGGGATGATTCACACTTCATCCTCATGCATTCAGGGCAGCATCTGAATACATTACAAATCGGGAATCAGACCCGGTTCTCCAGATTAGATTCTGCCACTCTTAACTACTACACCAAACTGGCTCTCTTGCAGGCAAGATGGTTTACAATCATTCTTTCACATGTAATTGGAAGGAAGACTTGGATTTGGCTTTCAGGAACAGGAACTAAACTGAGCTGTTCTCTCTCTTCCATCCCTTTTCCTTCCCTCCAAAACAAACTGGCTCTGGCAACAATAGATGCCAAATTTGTGTTTGTCTCTATGTGTTTGCATATATATATCCCGTCCTTGGGGTGAACAGGTTTGTTGTAAATGTTAAACATATATGAAAAGCTTTACAGCTCAATATTACGTTGCAGATGCTGGTGCCGCGCTGATATAGCTAGTCAGTACCCATACTCCAAAAACACCACTCATATCCACCTGCCATGGAGCAGCATGCTGATGACCATAGAATCATAGAAGGTACCTCCGGGTTCATCTAGTCCAACCCCCTGCACAATGCAGGAAATTCACAAATACCCCACACACATCCCCAGTGACCCCTGCTCCATGCCCAGAAGATGACAAAAAGCCTCCAGGATCCCTGGCCAAACTGGCCTGAAGAAAAATTGCTTCCTGACCCCGAAGTGGCAATCAGTATTTCTGTAGTCATGTAAGAAAGGGCCACAAGAACTAAGCACTGAGGCAGCCCTTCCTGCCCTCCCTCTCATGATCTGCCTAAGTTCACAGAATCCACATTGCTGTCAGATGGCCATCTAGCCTCTGTCTGACAACCTCCAAAGAAGGTGAGCCCACCAGCCCCGTAGCCAGGATTTTTAAATTTGGAGGGCCTTTAAATAAGTAATGGGTACCACCGCACACACCCCTGCGCACACACACTTCAAGCAAGCAGCCCCACTCCCACTCTTCCTTGCAACCAGCCAGGCATCCTTTTGGCAGGGAAGCCAAGGCTGGCAGGGCAGGAGAGTGGCAAGCCTGCCCAAGAAGGCTGCCTTCGTTGCCCACCTGATGCTGCCACAGTTCCTCCTCCGCATTCCCGCTCCTGGTATCTGCTCCTCTTCCTCCTCCTCCATTCTAGGAAGACTGGCAGGGGATTGGAGGGTGTCACAGGGCTTGATGTCTTGCCAGCTTGCTGGCAACAAAAGAAAGTGGCCGCGGCTGGTGAGAGGGAGTGGCCGCGGCCGGTGATGAACACCATTAATAAAATTAAAAATTGGAAACCAGGGAACCTGGGCTGGATTGGAACTCATGAGGCCATGGCAGTAAGTTGTGGGGTTGGGCCTCGAGAGGCCTCACTGTAGCTATGGGCCTGGCCCACCTCCTCCTAAGGTAGCCTGTTCCACTGAGGAACTACTCTGTCAGGAAGTTCTTCCTATTGTTTAGCTGAACACTCTTTTTAAAATTTAATTTCAACCCATTGGTTCTGGTCCAATCTTCTGGGGCAACAGAAAACAACTCCGCACCATCTTCTATATGACAGCTCTCCAAGTACTTGAAGATGGTTATCATATCACCTCTCAGTCATCTCCTTTCTTCTCCAGCCAGGTATGGAAACAGACAACTGATATATACTGATGCTGGCTCACCTCAGTGACATCACTGTACACTAGGGTTGCCAGCCCTTAGCTGGCAATCTCCAGGAGCATTGGGTTGGGGCAGAGACTACTGGAAGCCATTTCCTGTTTTAGAACAGGAAGTGATGTCATGATTCTCTAGGAATTTTCAAATCTCTATGGTAAAACCACAGATACCTGCAAATTCCTATGGCATTATGACATCACTTTCTGTTCTGAAACAGGACACCCCAACACCATTTCTGCCTGTCCCCCCCCCGCAAGGAAATAGACACCAGAAATAGACACGCAGGCTGGGTTACTGAAATAAGGATTTCTTTACTAATATTCTCAAGCACACAAACAATAATTAAACATTAATGCACACAATACAGATTTAAGGAAGCAGAGGTGATTGATAGCTAATGGAGGGGTGATACTACCTGTCCAGATGTGCAGAGGTCCATGAAGAAGGGTTGTGACCCAAAACCCAGAGGGTTCCAGGGGTGGCCTGCCAGGTGGCATCATGGCAGAAAACACACAGTCTGAGGCCATGTGTTTGCTGGGATATACCCATTGAAAGACAATGCAGACCAATGGGCGGCCCTGTGGGCTGGTCTCAGGTGAGAACAATAGCTTACCTGGACCAATGATGAGTCCCAGGGGTGTGTGGCATCAGGGTGGGCAAGGCCTAGATGTGACCAATGAGCTTCCAGAGAGGCAGGGTCTGGATTTAACAACAGAAGCCAGGTGTTGGATGATTGTACTGGGGGTGTCCATTGTGGAACAATAGAGTGGTCTGGCGTTTCCCCTAGTGCCAGACAAAAGGAGTGATGTTCCTTAATGTGTGGCAGGGTGAACCTGAATGGCTGACCATTCACTAGACATGAAGAGTTAATGTTTACCTTGATAGGTCTGGAATAGGTGTAAGAATACAGATATCTTAGACAAATATATGGAGACAGGGATGAGAGGATTATTCCAAAGATACTTCCTGACATGGGTGAAACAGGAGAGGGAGGTGGAAATATGCAACACACTTAATTCATGACAATAGCACAGACCAGAGGCTTTTGTCTCTGCCTGCCTGTATATTTGACAGTCAAAAGACTAGCCATTTTTTTAAAAATCAATAAAAAATCCCCTCCGGGGGCTTTAAAAAAAAAAAAAAGACTAGCCATTTGGTCAGCAGAAGATGCTTAAGGCAAGGGCAGGGACTTGCCCTTTCTTATTCCTTTTTGGACTAAGCTGACAGGAGGTGTTATGTCCACTGACCACCACTAGGCGCCAGCGTTATACTGCCGAGCTTAACTCCCAAAGAACAATAGGGACTAGGCTCCTGGATTTTCCTTGGGGAACCAATAGGGACTTTGGCTGGAGGTTTAAACCCACCAATAGGATCTAGGGGTGTTCCCAGGTACTGTATATAGTTGGCCACCCGTCCGGTATTCTGTGTTCTAGTTGTGTACCAGTAAACCATGCTGATCACTACATCCATCTCTGTGGTTTCTACATGTGTCTAACCCACTACACAATAGGAGAGAAGAGTGGGGGGGGGGATTGCTTGCATGGGGAATGCTTGGCCATGCAGCCAGCCTGAGCCAAGATGTGGTTGTCCTAGTCTCCCAGCAAAAAGCCACTGTTTAAACCAAGCCTGGCTTTATAGGGCACTGCTTGTTAAAGATGTGGGAAAACAGGATATAATCTATATGTCAAATTTTACAATATTACATTTACTTAATATTCTTAAGGTAGATATCATAACTTGGAAATGGTAAATCCTTGAAACAGCAAATACAAAAATGAGTTTTTTACTTTTTTATTACTTTTCTGAAAAAATATAATTAATTTTGTATTCAGTTGATTTACTTAGATTAAAAACTACTGCAAAAAACGTGCTCTTAAATAGAATTTATTTCCCAAGACAAGAAATTAGATGGCAGTCATCATGGATAATGCAAATAGATGTATAACTACCAAGTTAATTTTTACAGTTCTAATCGTCCTTTACTAATGATGCCTTTCTTGATCTGTTTTATTGGCAATATAGTCCTGACTGTTCTATTACTATTAATAAAATGTTTACAAGTGCCACATTTAATCTTTTATTTCTTCTTTTGGGGAAAAAGAGCATTTTTGCAAGCTTTGAGCTTTTGTTTTTTTAAATCATAATATATGTGGTGATCTTTGGTTTCATAACATGCATTATTAATGACCAGTAACAACATCAAGGGAACCATTTTCTGTTGGTGATTTAATGCTTATACATTAATTATGAGAAATACAAAGATACTACATAGGCTGTGTATAAAATAATTGGTATTTTTATTTTTACAGAAATAATGCATGGGGAAATATATGCATTATTCACAACACCAATTTGCTTTCACAATAGGCTTCACTACTGAAAGTGAAGAAACTTTTTTGCAACTTAAGTAGATTTTCTGCTAATTTTAACTTTTGTCAAGTGCCAGGACCTAACATGAATATTTACTCATGTAAAGTAAATCTTGACCTCTCAGATTCAGCTGCCAATTTTCATTTCATCTGCTGAGATGCCCCAAGCCCATGATCACAAGAAAGCTATGGTTGATCCAAACACATGAGGGCCAGCATGTTGGGAAGAAGTGGCGGGGGGGGGGGGGGGATGAACATTCTGTTTAACCTGAATAAATGACAAATGGAATTTTATTAATGTTATGAATGAAGCATGGAATACTCCATGTCTCTTACAAATGTTTCCAAATCTTTATTTTCATCAAATCCAACAGCTTCTTCTCCATCCTCATTCTTCTTGCCTTTTTTTTTGACAGGTCTTTTCCTGTATCACACCACTTCTTATGCAGCATTTTAAAATATAGAGAACAACGTTTGAGCCCAGCGGCACCTTTGAGACTAACAAAGGTGCCACTGGACTCAAACATTTTCCGTTGCTTCAGACCAACACGGCTACCCAGCTGAATCTATTTTAAAATCTCACGATGGAGGATGAGCTTCTTGAGAATCCCCAGGCAGATGAGGAATTCACTAGTTCTAGGGAATATACAGATGGAGGGTGCTTGTATATGTCAATCCGTACACAGTTCCCTCTCCTTACCTTTACCAGACATTATCTTAAATATTCCTTCTTTGGGTCTTGGTAGTAAAATCTGGGTGGTGGTGGACAGTGCCGTCAAGTTACAGCTGACTTATGGCAACCCCCTGGGGTTTTCATGGCAAGAGGTGTTCAGAGGTGGTGTGCCATTGCCTGCCTCTGCATCACAACCCTGCTATTCCTTGGAGGCCTCCCATCCAAATATTAGCTAGGGCTATTCCTGCTTAGCTTCTGAGATCTAATGAGATTGGGCAAGGCCCATAGCTACAGTGGGGCCTCCCAGGGCCTGGCCCCCTAACTTCCTTCTGAGGCCACCTGACTTCCTATCTAGCCCAGCCACCCCGACTGTTCTCTGGGCTGTTCTGAAGACTCCCAATGCCACTGCTGCTGTCCCTTCCCTGCTTGTCAGCAGCCCTGCTGGCTCCATCCCAGGCTGGCAGTTGTGGGGGCTGGGGGTCTTGAGCTGGCGGCAGCATGGGGCTCCCAGATGAGGAAATGGCATGAGGCGGTCAGGCCAGCAAGTGAGGTGGGGCCCACAGGAACCTTTGGTGGCACGCAGAGACTGGCAGGGCCAGGCTGGGGCACCTCTTCCTTCTTCTCTTCTGCCTCCTACTTCTGTAGCTGGGTGCCTAGCCAGAGCGCCAGTGGAGGCCAGCTCCATAGCACCAGACTTCCAGGGTGTGTCAGGGGAGGGGCTGGGGGTCCCAAGTTAGCAGCAGCAGCAGCACAGGGATCCCAGGAGAGTAAGCAGCATGAGGAAATTAGGCAGGCAGGCCGCCAGGCAAGGTGAGGCCGGTGGGAATTTTTGGCAGGCTCGGAAGCCAGTGGGGCCAGGCTGGGGTGCCTCTTCCTCCTCCTGCCTCCTCTTCCTCTGCCTGGGTGCCCAGCTGGAGTGCCGGTGGAGGCCAGCTCTGCAGTGCCCAGCTTCCAAGGTGTGTTGGTGGAAGGGGCTGGGGGCCCCAAGCTGGGTCAGTGGCAGCACGGGGCTCCCAGGAGAGTAAGCAGCATGAGGCAACCAGGCAGGCAGGCAGGCCAGCAGGTGAGGTGGGGCCAGTGGGAACATTTGGTGGGCTCAAAAGCTGGTGGGACTGGACCGGGGCCTTCTTCCTCCTCCTCTTCTGCCTCTCCTTCTTCCTGTGCCTCCTCTTCTCCCTGTGCCTGGGTGCCCAGCAGAGGCCAGTTCTGTGGCGTTGGGCTTCCAGGACTTAAAAAAACCACCCTTTTATTTTAATTTCAGTGCCCCCTGAATTATTTAAAGGCCCCCTGATTTAAGAAATCCTGGCTACAGGCCTGGATTGAGTAGCCTGTGGTAAAATCTTAAACCTCCTTAATTCCTTCCACTTTGGACAAGTGTCACATAGGTCTTCATATATGGTTCATCATTTTGCATATTCCCTCTGAAGTTCTCACTTTTGCTTTTGATTCGGCTGCCATTATGTGTCTGAATCTCAGTCCTTTTTTTCTATTTGTCCTTCCTTGGTCAGCAAAATAGCATCCACATCTCCTCAGAAAATAATGCTGGATAGCTATAGGCCCCTGAAAGGAGAATTGTGCTTCATATGCCCTCACAAGTGAAGAACCATTTTCCCCACCCGTTTCTTCATGTGCACTTATTGTATCTTCATGTGCACTTATTGTATCTTGCAAAGCTGCACACATTCAAATAAAAATTCTCTCTATTGTCAGGAACAGGGCACAGAAAACGGAATGAATGTGTAATCCTCCCTATTTCTCCTGTCTTTGTCTTTTCTTTTTGTCCTTATCCATTCAATGTTATACCCTATGCTACAGATATTTATTTGAGAATGTCATACTAAATCAAACAAGAAGATTTTTAATGGCACTTCAAATGAGGAAAAGAATGGAAGAACCTGTTTTATTTCCAGCATACACTCCATTCTGAATTTGATTGACAATGAAAATTGTGCCTAGTTCAGAAATAATTAAATATGTAAGAGACCTCCCAGTTGAAAAATGGTCAGAATTATAGAAACAACCAGGGAAACGTTTCTATATAATGCAATAAATACTATATTGAAAAGTTTATACAAATGTGAATTAATTTTTAAAGTATTTGATTCATAAATTCATAGAAAATCACCTATTAGCTTATACATAGAAGTCTCAATATTTGTAAACAGTTCACAATACATTAGTACATAACGAAGCTTCTGGCTTGAGTCTTCGTTTCGCTCCTAGCATACAGCAGACTGGACTGGAGCCTAATGTGAAGGTTGTTGTTTCCTATTTGGAACGTAAGCTTTGATAAGCAGAGATAAGAGTTTTGGAAAACAAAAGAGACAACACTAAGTGCAAAATGATGAATAAGAGAATTTACTTCTGAGGAAGTCTAGGAGCGAAACGAAGACTCAAGCTGGAAGCTTCGTTATGTACTAATGTATTGTAAGCAATCTCTAAGACAAACAAATCTTTCACTGTAAAGAACTAAGTTTCTTAGAATTTAAGCTTCAAGTATATCTGTTGCCTGTGCAAGATATTCTAATTTTTTTATAAAGAACTACAGTTTAAAGAACTCATCATCCCCTGCCCTATTCCTGTTACAAATGTGCCTATTCAATAAAATCAACCTTTTTGTTTCAACTTTACTTCATGTCAAGTGCCATTTCCAAAGGAGTTTTATAAGATGGCTCCTGCTGAGTTACAATAAAAATCTGGTGGCCTGAGAAAAGACCAAATAACTTATTTAACACTGGGTGGGGGGACAAAGAAACTTCTCTTTCCTTATATATAAAAGAGTTTTCATGTGAGACATTCCACACGCCTCCCCAGCCTTTGGCCCGCTCAGCTTCCCGTCTTGCGGACTCCCAATCCCCTGGCTGCATTGCCTCTGCCCCGCCGACAGAGCCAGCAGCCAGCGTTTCACTCTCAGTCTGGAGGGAGCCAGCAAAGGGATGGATGCACTGCCGAGGGAGCAGCAACCCCTCCACGGGGGAGAAGGAGGCAGACCTAGCAAGCAGCAGCAAGCAGGGGAAGCACTCACCTTTGCTGCCCTTCACGGCCCCTCTCCCTTGGCCGCAAGACCAGCGCTTTGTCAGGGTGATATCTCAGCAGGCTGCACCGCAGAGAAGGCTGCCCAGCACCTTTCAAAGGCTCCCCCACCTTCCTTCAGCAGCTGCAGCAGCACCAGGGAGGGTCTGGCCCAGAGGAAATGAGCTGCAGCTCCTGGAAAGCCGGGTTCTCTCCTGAGGAAGACACTTCTCTTGGTTCCTGTGTGAGCCTAACTGTGACTAACTGTCCCCTCAGTGGCTCTTGGTAGGCAACCAACTTCTGTCAGTAAAAAAAAAAAGGACTTTCAGCATAACCCCTCCCCCACCCACTGCCAGCTTGGCCAATTTCGTGTCAGAATACATTTAAACCTGCTCGCTCTCCTATTTGGCTCAACCATGGCTGGCTGGCTAATGAGGTGGGCCAGCAACCATCAAGCCATTCTCTTCAACCCCCTGCTGTGTGGCTGACTTTCCCCAAGGGTTGCCAGTCTCCAGGTGGGACCTGGAGATCTCCTGCTGTTACAATTGATCTCCAGATGACAGAGATCAGTTCCCCTGGGAAAGATGGCTGCTTTTGAGGGTGGACCCTATGGCATTATCCCCTGCTGAGTCCTTCCACACACACCCCAATGCTGCCCTCCACGGGATCCACCCCCCAAATCTTCAGGTATTTCCCTATCAGAGGTGGCAACTATACTTTCTCCTCAGTGCCTGTTGCTAGGCAACCAGGTTATGTCAGTAAAAGGCCCTTGCCACACCTGTTTTGGCCTTTGGAGAAAAACCTCATTGGGCCCAGTCCTGACAGGGTTGCCAACTCCAGGTTGGGAAATTCCTGGAGATTTGAGGGGTGGAGCCTGGAGAGGGTGAGGTTTGAAGAGGGGTAGGACCTCAGACAGGTGCAATGCCATGGACTCCACCAACCAAGCCAGCCATCCCTCATGGGGAACCAGTGTTGCCAATCTCCAGGTGGGGACTGGAGATCACTCAGAATTACCCCTGCTCTCTAGGAGGGAGGGGGAGAAGATGGAAAGCTGAAGCCAGGGGCCAGATAACAGTAGGTTGACGGTTGGCTGGGAGATGGATTTGCCAACTCCAGGTGCAAAATTCCTGGATGTTTGAGGAGGGGTGGGACCTCACACATGTGCCAATCTCCAGGTGGGGGCTGGAGATTACTTAGAAGTACACCTGCTCTCTAAAAGGGAGGAAGTGAAGATGGAAAGCTGAAGCCAGGGGGCAGATAACAGTAGGCTGACAGTGGGCTGGGAGGGAGATAGGGTTGCCAACTCCAGGTTGGGATATTCCTGGAGATTTGAGGGGTGAACCTGGAGAGAGCGAGCTTTGAGGAGGGGTGGGACCTCAGGTGCGATGCCATGGACTCCACCTCCAAGCCACCCATTCCCTCATGGGGAACCATTGGTTCCAATCTCCAGGGGAGGGATGGAGATCACGCAGAATTACAACTGCTCTTCAGATGGCAGAGATCAGTTTCCCAGGAGAAAATGGTGGACTTTCTGTCATTATACCCTGCTGAGGTCACCACAGCAAATTGACGCTGAGTGCCCAAGGCCGGGGCACTCTCCCAGAACCTCTTCCTGGGAGATGCTGGTCATTCTGGTAACCCGGGCCAGAATCCAGGCTGGGCCACTGGAGAAGTTCCAGACGTAGACGAGAAGAGGAAGGACTCGAGGAAGAACTTGAACCGGCTGATGTAGGAGTCCCAGTCCTCTATGGTGGCATAGAATGCATCGAAGTGTCCTGGAGCAGCAGCCATGGTCCTGGTAGCAATGTGTTGCACTAAGCGCTGGAGCTCAGTGCGTGGTGCAGTGCTGGAGGGCGCTGGGCTGGCTCAACAGGATCCCACCTTCGTCGCCAGTGCAATATACTCATTCGAGATGCATATAGTGATCAGCTCATAGTTTATTAGTGATTTCAGCTTAACTCTAAGACAACTCAAGCAGGACAGGGGCCCTGCTTATATGCGTGCCAAACACCACACCCACATACACCCACTCCCCGTGATAGGCTATTTACATTACAACTCCTAATCTATAGGTCCTGGTTACCCATTGTTCAGGTGACACAAGCTTCATCAGTTTCCTGGTACTGTCCTGGCTCAGTACATAACTATTCTTGTCTCCTCCATTGTATGGTCACAACAACCCTGTGAGATAGTTAAGCCGACAGAGAATAATTGGCCTAGATCACCCAAGAAGCTTCCATATCCAAGTGAGGATTCAAACCTGGATCTCCAATCGTAGACTGACACTCTGACCATTTCACCACACTGAATCTCAAGGTCAAAAAGCGTGTGCGTACAAATAGATTTGTATATCATATCAAAAGCTGTATGTTATGTACACAAACACCAGTCAGTAAATAATTTTAACACCAGTTGTACTTGGGCGTAAAATAATTCATGTGATTTATACCATCTCACTGTTGTTTATGCTTTTTCTATGAGCACATGTCCAAAAAAACCATCAAATCCAAGTAGAAAAATAGGGTAATAATTAGGAATGTGTTTATTGCATTGGGATCTACATGTTGTACAAATAAATGCTGCTATTGTGCTGTCTCCAGGACAACTTTCCTGCCTTTTGAACACAGATGCAGACACATCCCTGAATCTGCAGAAATTAGTTTACATTTTAATAGCATTTTTGTAGGCATTTGGGAGAATGGTCATGAGTCACTTCATTTCCAAGGGGAACCCCATGGGATTTTAATCAAAGTACTCTGGTTTAAACTGAATCAGGATGAACACTCTGTTTAAATGTTTTGTCTTGGTTAGAAGAAAGAGAGAAAATGAACAGAGAAAATAAAAACCATTAATTCCACCAGGAGCATAATAGTTTTAGAAGACTCACAAATGTTTGAGAAGGATAAATGAAGTGACATTTTGACTCTCTCTTTTTTTAAAAAAAAATCCCCTGACTTAACCCTCAAGGATTCAACTTTGGCCGCAAGATACCAGTGTGACAGTATCTTCTTCCCATAACTCAAATACTTTGCCTGAAAGGATATCACCAGTAAGATGTGAAAGAGGAGACCATAGCTTCATTTCCCAATGGAAAACTATATCCTCTACATAGTTCTTTTTTTAAAAGGCACAGAAGGAAAGCATGTAAAATCATTTTAAAATCTCCAGGCAAAATGTATGTGCTCTAATGCAGAGAGATAATTGTTACAAATCTGTCAAAATCAAACAACATAATGAGTTTTGTTAATAATATAACCAGGCACATTTGGGCTAGGATAGAAACCTGAACAGTGCTTTAAAAGAACAGTAATAATAATAATAATAATAATAATAATACTTTCAATTTATTAATCGCTTTCCCCAGTGGGCTCAAAGCGATGTACAGTTACACATTTTAGACAGGGGACTAACAATGTTCATAGGGGATAGGGAAGAAAACATATATTCATTTAATTGGACACGCTGTCACTGCACGGTGTAAACGTCTTCTGGCTTGGCTCAGTCATTTTCCAAACGGCTGCTTGTCGACGAGGCTTCAGGACCCGTATGTCAAATTGCCACACTGCCATCGCCTGGCCGGAAACATCCACTGCAGGGATTTTTGTAGCCGAGAAATTCTTCCGCCTTTTCCGAACCTCGACCAGGACGTCCCGACCGTCAGCTAACACCCTCCCACAAGGGTGGGCTCTAAGGAGTGGTTCCCATTTTATCTACTCGCAGAAGCTTTTGAATCGCTGAGTGGACGATGAGCTGGGGACAACAGGCTGGCTGCTCACACTAGCGCGGGACTCGAACTAACACAGTTCGGATGTTAAGACAGTGGGATATAAGTTTGAGTCAAGTGGCACCTTTAAGACCAAGAAAGTCTAATCCTGGATATAAGTTTTCATGCACAAATTAAACTTTCTTGGTTTTAAAGGTACCAATGGACTCAAACTTTCTTCTTTTGCTTCAGACTAACACAGCTACTCGCTTGAAGTAATAAAAGGTATATAGTCAAATTGTTTTGGCCTGCCTTTTAGAATACTAAAACAGAAATATGGCAACTACAATATTTTAAACAGCAAACAACTGAACTATCAGAATAGTATCTCATGAGTGCAGCATATGCATGCTGGCACCAATGCAGTGAGACTTTCTTTCAAGTAAACATGCACAGGGTTTGATTGTCATACCAAATCCTGTATATTTTAAGTTACATCATCCTCTTATACCCTCCTTTTTCCATTTCCAAGTAAAGAAACATTTCTGCAAGTGTGCTATTACTTGCCTCCTCTGCCAAAGGCAGACATGAAAACCTGATATGGAGACTAAAAGGAAAACTGAGCAGATGTGTGGGTGGGTGTATATTATGCGCTGTGTATGAACAGTGTCTTCTTGAAACTGAATGTGCCAGGCTGGTTGCAGAGGTTGTAAAAAATTTCCCTCCGCACAGAAGAAGATAAGCTTCCAGGGGCACTTTCTTATTCTCATTCAGTACCTTCTGAATTTTTTGTAACTACGATGCAAGAATTTCGTAGGTAGGCTTGAAATTTCATGGCTATGATATCAGAGCAAAACAACCCTCCAGAGTGTTAGACCTCTTCAAAAAAAAGTAGAATAGTCAGCATTACTTTAGTTATTGATATTGTCATGTTCATTGCTAGGGATGGGCACAAACCCAAACACCGAACCAAAATCCAGGCCAAACATTGCCTTTTGGGGGGCTCCAATGGACCTGCTCAAAGGTCACGTGTCCAGAAGCTTGAGCGCCTGAACTTTTCATGCTCAGCTCAGAAGCGTTCATCTACTTTCACCAGAGAAACCCCACCCCCACCATTTCACATCAAAATGCTCATCAGCTGGGAAGAGGATGAGGGCCAGGGCTCATGAAGTGATCACTCAGCACATCAGACAAATGATCGCCCTGGACAACCAGCCTTTCTCGCTGGTGGAGGATATGGGCTTTTAGGGGCTCCTACATTGCATGGCCCTGTGGTACATCATTCCCTCCCAGAGGACCATGTATCAGTCCGCCTGCCATGTATCAGTCCGCGGTGCGTCTGGTGAAAGCCAAGCTAGCCAAGGTGTGAAAGAGAATCATCCACCTGACAACTGACCTTTTGAGAGGCTAGCACCATGGACATGGTGGCAACCCGAGGAGTTCTGGGGTGGGCAGGGGGACCTGCTGTCCCAAGCGGGGATGAGCATGCTTTTGTCTGGCTCAGGGCATGGATGTGGAGCACACGTTGGTGAATATCTCTGTGGCCATTCGGAGTAGCCTGAAGACCTGGTTTGGGGGGAAACAGATCACTCGTGGCTATCTGGTCATGGACAGCAGCCTGAACATGTGTAGGGCCACCGAAAAAGTCAAATTCAGAAATGTTGTCTGCACGGTGCACAAGATTCACCTGGTAGTGAAGGATGCCCTGGGTCTGGGAAGCAATGCCACAGGTGGGGAGGGCACCGCTGAGATCAATTCCATGCTGGAGAACTGCCGGCGCTTGGCGGGTCACTTCTTGAGAAGCATCAAGGCTTCACGGCTGCTGAGAGAGAGGCAGGGCGAGGTGGCCAAGACGGTGGTCCAGGATGTCCTGTCCTCTGTGCCCATTCGGGGGGGGGGCGATCTGAGCATCAGCTCCAACAACTGGCTGACCCTCTCCCAGATGACACGCATCCTGAAACCATTTCAGGATGCCACCAATGTCCTTTGTGCCCACATGGCCAGCCCGGGGCAAGTCATCCCCCTCATTGGCGGGCTAGATCGGGCAATGGAGTCTGTGCTGGAGCCAGGCCACGAGGGAACTGGGGTTTTCCCTTGAGTCAGGGCCCTGGTCGACAGGTTGCGCCATGGCATTGAACAGCACCTGCATCCGCTCCTCGAGGAGCGGGAATTCAGGCTGACATGTATGTGTGACCCCCATATCAAGGGAAGCATCACCCTCTGAAGGATGACAGGGGGGGCAGGAAGGAGAGGGGAAAGAGCAGGAAGAGCCAGAAGATTGGAAGGCGGGGAAGGGCGAGGAAGGCAAGCTCGTGGAGAGAGGGCGGGCCCCTGGAGATGGTGTGAGAACCAGGAGTTCTGGATGTCCATCATGATGTGAGAGGTGTGGAGCACCGGTGTGGGCGCCAGGCATATGATGGCAGAGGATTCCACCGAGGTGATGGTCCACACATTCCTGGCCAAACCCCCTGAGCCCACCCACTCAGATCCACTTGAGTAGAGGGTGCGCAAGGCCACCATATGGCCAGATCTCACCAACATGGCCACCAGTCTGCTCTCCTACCCACCCACCAGCATCCAGAGCGAGCGGGTGTTCTCCCACCTGGTAGACATAGTTTGCCTACATCGATCCTGACTAGACCCAGTCAGGGTGGAGAAGCTGTCCTTTCTGAAGGTCAATCTGTCAATGCTTGGCAACCCTGTTCTGGACGGGGTGAATTGAGACCATGGTCTTTCATCTTCCTCTGGACGGGGTGAATTGAGACCATGGTCTTTCATCTTCCTTCCTTTCATCTTCTGGGGGCCAGGACCCCCCCCATTTGCCCACCATGGCCAGGTTGTTGGACCACAGTTCTGGGTCCCTCCCCAGAGGGGACACACTTTACACTCTGTCATCATCGTCCAACCCCCCCCACAAAAAGGGGGTGCTAGAGAGGGAAAATATACTGTCACAGTCCCATGTCTGTCCCCCCGGGGCCCACCCTTCCAGGTCTCCTCGTGTCTCTCCTTCCCCTTGGGGGAGGTCCCACCAGGCCCCTCCCTGGCCAGTGCACTCCTTAACACTGCCTTAAAACATGTCTTTACGGTC